TCTTGGGGGTATTAAGAGCAGTAATGATGATGTGGGACTGCTTCCTTGTGTGCGTCAGCGTGCGTGCATGTATGTTTCTGTACGACACTATTAGCACACAGGATAGAGCAGCTATTAGCCTAAAGAATGTTTTCTTTTGTGCCATAAAACCAAACCCCCACACGAGAGGAACTCCAACACACACGTATACATACACAAATGCCCATACACACACACAGCACACTCACAGTAATGACCTGTTTTGTTAAGCACAGTGAATGCTCCAAGTACACAATAATAAACTCCTCATTTGTTATGTACTAGGGCCATTAAAGAGAGCGACCACAAGAGGAGGAGACGGGAAGAAGAAAGGGCTGCATTAAAAAGAATAATGAGGAAAGAGAGAGACAAAAATATAAGGACAGGCAGAAGTGCACAGAGTAGGTCTGACTGTCCTTACATTGTTGTAAACATACAGTAGGTAGAAACAACAGAGGCATGGAATGTAAAGCAAATATGAAACATAAGAGAGCAAAAGTGAAATGAAGGACTCCTTTGCACTACAAATACAGACTGTTGGCCATGCAATCACAGTGCCCCCTATTGGCAGACGATAAGTCACCATTTTGGATAGTGGCACATTTATTTATTAGCCCATCTTATTGAAGCTGAGATTTTAAATTAATCAATCAATCAATCAATCAATCAATCAAAGGTAGTTAAAAAGGTTTCACATCAGTATGCAGCACATTACAGATAATGCACGCTGCAGGACAGCCATTTCTCCCTGATATTTCTCAGACACACTAAACCACTGCTTTCTGTGCCACCTCGTCTGGTTTCATAGACAGCTCATGTGGCATTAGGAAGGATGCCACACTTATGTGTTTCTATCATGGCTTCATTGTAAGCTTGGTGCAGTGTTTTAAAATCCAACTGAATAATACGTCAGGAACAGCGCAGTCACAGATGCATAATGCTTGATTCATGATTATGAATGATTGATAACCCAACTGTACCAGACCCAAAGATTCAGTCCAATGGATCACATATGACCACATCAGTATATGATGGCAGTGTATGATTTAGTACATAAGAGATGCAGAGAGTGTAAATAAGCAGCGTTAGCGATTACTCAACCGTCATTTCACAGCCTCGTAAGATCTGATCACGTGCATATTACCAAGGTAAAAGGTGTGAGCATGAGTGGCTTTACTCTTAAAATTTTATGACTATATAGTGAATTTCATTGACATTATAAACTCTTTACGAATAAGTCATATCCAACAAAACTCAGCTGTTATACGAGGCACAGGTCTGCATGCCAAATATCCAGATTTGTAGGCTTCAAGTAATTGTTTTGAAGATGGTACTTGGCCTTGAGGCGACTGATGTTGTGAATTGGTGCTATATAAATAAAATTGAATTGAATTAGACACTTCAGACTTCTTTATTTTACTTTATAATTTAAGCTTTTAAAGGTCAGTGAGCACTGCCTGTCGAAATCTTGTGTTTTCTAGACAAACATGTCGCATGCAGAGGATCAACCAAGGAAAAGAGAGCAAAACAAATTGATGGACATAAAGGCGACGTCCGATCTGACAGCCAACAAAGTGCTTCTACAAAAACAAGGCACTCCTGTACTTTATATTCCTCTCCATTAGCCAATCTTTTGAATACAGGCCTTTGTGGCTGGGCTTACAAAGGAGAAAAAAGCCTGTTGTCTGTCTGTAGGTTGCTGGTGTCTCCAGTCAGACGCTGAGTCACTGCACTGTGGCACAAATGCTCTAACTGTAAACACCCCCCGGTGGGTGAACCTGGTGAGTGACCTGTGAGCGACCCTAACCAAAGGAAAACTTTCCACTAAGAAGGATTACCAGTAATAATACGTGTCACATATACCGGTGATGAGATCACCTTAAACAACATTCACAGCAGCAATTTCTGCAACTAAATATTTCCAGTCACAGCTGATCACTCTTTTATATCAGCTTAGAGGAAATTAAATCATTCTGAAGTTTAGAACATGTGCAACTCTGGGTTTTTGTGGGTTTTCTCAAGTAAACAGCTAATTTCTCTTGAATTAAGGTCATAATTGAGATTTTTCCATACATCTCCCACCACTCTTTCGTAGAAACTTGTTTGTGTTGTACCACTCAGCTTGAGTTTCTGTTGACAGATGGAGGTGCTGACATCTTCTTCTTCGTGCATGATTCTAAATGTATTGCTCTTTCAATGATGAGACTTTTTCGCCCACTGACAACAAAACAGGAACAAGCCGTGATTTTCCCACCGCTTTTCATAAATGGGGAAGACTCTTATACTGCTATGTAAAGCTTTCCCTTCTCCAAACATAAAGCTTCTGATTTACACCAAAACCTCCATCTTAGCCACATGTGTCCACAGAACAGTCTACTAACAGCAGTCTGGTTTGTTTATACGATCTTCAGCGAAACGTAAAAGAGCAACAAAACACTTTTGCCCTTTCTCGCCTTACGAGCACAGTATTTGAAATACATCCACAGCTAGCTGTTGAAAAAAAACCAACCACTGATTAAATCTGACTTCCTTTGAGTCGAATGTAAATGACGCTTTATATGTAGAAAAGTTGGATGAAGAAAGTTGGTGTATTTTGTTTCGATCATGACAGTTTTTTGTAAGAAGTGCTTATTTGCACCTTTGTGTTATCAAAAGGCTCATAATCATTCAAGAAACACGCATGGGATCACTGTGGGGGGAAAAACACAATGAACACGCGCACAAGATGGAATTCAAACACAATGAAATGACGAGGAGGAGTCACACAAGCTAACAGAAAACAGAGGAAGAGCAAATTGCAGATAAACACACAGGAGTTTGTGGTTTCAGTTCCACCGAAGACAGCTGGTACGTTTTAAGAGAGTGAGACCTGGAGTTGTTCTGGGAATACATAAACACAGGGGGATCTGATTACGAATGCTCGGAAGATCTCAGACGTGCGGTGGGATAAGTCAAGGAGGAGGTGATGTGTCTTTTGATTGCGTATTCATGTGCATGATGAGGATGTCAAGGTGTTCTTACTATGCAGAAAAGCAAATGTGCATTTAGCTGACCTTGGCAATGAGGCTGAGGGGTTCTTGGCAGGAAGGTGGCAGTGCTGATCCCATTTCCTGTAACAGGTCAGGTACTTCCTGTTGCAGGTACAGCTCTAACATGGACGCCAGCTGAGAAAGACCTTGTTTCTTCTGCTCAGGCATAGAAGTTAGATCTGTAAAAACATTTTTTTTTAAAAATCATACAAATGTAGTTGAAACACTTCATAAAATCCAGGTATTCTTGTGTAAAAATGTAACGTTCTTTAAGGTGATGATGTGAGGACTCCTAAAATTTGCCTGTAAATGGACCTAAATTGATATTTTATAACATATGATGCAGGTTTTCACTAATTTCTAGCATCTAAAAGGTTGTATTTGTTAATGTATGAAGTTGGTACAATGTTTGACGCCATCTGCTAAATCACATTTGTAAAGGGACTTTCAATCTCAATGAGACTTTTACCAGATAAATGCAGAATATCATTAAACCCATCACACTGTCCTGCATCATATTCGCCGTATAAAATCTAACATTTGTTTTAAAAAAAATCCATTTTGCTCTATCACATCATGTTTTTGGACGAGTGGCAACTGTAAACATGATCCAGATGCTAAACATGTGGATCCTTCACTATATCCAAACAGCAACAAAACATAACAGAGTTGGTGGGAAAAGGCATCCTCTGCTTATTTTGGTATGAAACTGGGTAATCAAGACAAGCCATGGGCATCTCATTCAGTTTGTCAGGTGTGTGTTGAAAATCTCAGAATAATGGAAAGAAAAAGAGCTTGGGTTTTGGATTTCTAGTGGTGCAGAGGGAACCACAGGAACACTTTGGTGCCTGCTCCGTCTGTTCAGTCAGTATGTCTGGATACAGTTCCAAAACTAAATCACCTGCCAGTTACTCTAACCTGCCATCAGCAACGAGACCTGCACCGCATTCAGATGAAATACTGCCTGTTGTTTTACTGGCTTAGTTGATGAGAGAGAAAAGTCTGATGTTTTGTTTCTAGATGCACAACTTTTTAGTGATCCATCTTCTAGTAGCTCATCTGTCCCCCAGTTCTTCACTCAGCCACAGTTAAAACTTGTCTTTGCCACAGGAAGCGGCCCAGTTGCTTGGGGCTAGGCTCAGTGAGAAAAACCTACTGGCTCCAGGAACCACATTGTCTTTTTA